AACCGCGGCGAGAAACCCCTCTGTCGTTGCCAGGGCAACCTCCGCTCCTTCGTCTTCCCTCTGGAACTGCTTGCCAGCTAACCAGCCAGCCACCGCCAGATTCAATTCGTGAGAGCGAGAACGAATCGACGTTCCTGGAAAGAGCTGGCCTGGCATACCGGAAGGGGATGGCTCCGGGGGATGACACCCGGGAAAAAAGGAAAAGATGCCGCACGTCCGGTGATTGTATTTGATAGCCCGACTGCGGGACAAGAACATTCGACCTTGATTAAACCACGGACTTACGATCGCGTTTCGTTAAGATTTATTTCTTTTGCAATTATATTTTTTACTTAATTTTTACTTTTGCAAAAATTCTGTTACAAGTCTACTTCATATCTTATTTAGAGATATTCAAGTTTTAACAAATCTCAATTCTCATGTCATCATAACTAATCTCATCATCAATTCTCATCTTATCAAAACAAATCTCATCATCAATTCTCATCTCGTAACAAAACCTCATATTTGAGGACATTTGAACTTGGTATGTTTTTTAATATATTTACTGTCATTTTTCTTTGGTAAACTTAGGATAGGAACCCTTCATGTGGGATAGCAATATAATATGATTCTATTGTACACATTGTTTACTCCATTTTAGCTTCTTAACCTACAATTTTCCAGACAGTGACGTCAAACAGAAATGACTAACTATTGCCACAACAGAAGTATAAAAAATGTCAAAAAGTTGGGTACGTTTTGTTGAAGAATCCTTGATGGTGATGATCGTAATTGGAGGCGAACATAAAATGGCGGTGGAAATACAAAATGGCTTATGGAGTATAGAGCGTACGTCACGAGTGACATCTTGTAGGCCAAGGGTTAAGATGTCACATGTGATGTTAAATTGTTACATATGAATATACATGAATTGTACATACGAATATTTTTACTGAACATAGACAATGTCTATTTTATTATACTTGACATACCGAAAGAGTAAAATTAATCTAAAATTCCACTTAACCTCAAAATTATTAAACTTGCACCCTCAAATATTTCTGCAAATCAATCTGAACTTGTCCTAGCATCAACTTGCCCCTCTAACTAAACCAAAAATTATGAAAAATTAAAAATTGCAAAAAAACTAAAAATTGTGAAAAAACTAAAAATTCTGAAGAAACTAAAAATTGTAAAAAGTATCGATAAGAGAGTGTTCGGTTAATAAAGAAAAACGCGTTAGGACGACGTGAAGTAGCAATCCTCGGAAGAGGACGAATACAAAGGCTCATGAAAAATTGATCGACCACGATATCTCACGTTTAGGCGAGATCCGTTGAAGGAAGCAGGACACGCGCGACCCATACATCAAAAAGCCGCCGTCTCTGCGGACCGTGCTTTAATATAAAACTTAAATAACGATACAACGGCGTCATGACGAAAATGGGAAATAATCTTATGAATAAGTTCTTCCCCGGGGCGTGCTTGCCACGTCGAGAACTCGCCGGGAGTGCCGGCCAAATTTGAGAACCCCCCGCGATTTTACAAATTACCGACACACGAAACGACTTTTCGCAGCTAATGATTAATTCTTGACGCTCTGATCGATGCTCGGGATGTGATCTCCGTTCGTGCATTTATCACTTTACGGTGCTGTAATATTTAATGTTCTGTAGTATTTTTACGTCGTTATGCGGACGTCGCTGGAACACGTGGAGGACACTTTTCTAAATATTAGGAATTTTTAAATATTGGAAATTTTGCAATTTTTAATTATTTTAGATTGTTATAATAATTAGCGTGGGACACTGAAAAATTTGTATCCACATATTCGAATTGAAAAATGTTACTATAATTTGCTAATCCATCTGCGAAAAGTAGACAGCAAATCACCTTCATATTTCAAACAATCCATTTCCCACCTTATACCATAAGTATTCAGAATAAATAAATAAAAATAAAAGTAAGTAATTATCCGTATTCAATTTGAAATAATTTTTGTGAGAGCAAAATTAGATATTTCACGAGGTTTG